ATATTGCGCCAGATAAATTGTTGAGTCTCACGTCCTAATATCATGGGTTATGAGATAAGTATTAATAATTTTGACCACATCTCTAATTAACTAAATGATAATTATTCTTAATTCAAAACATATCTTGAACTATTTTAAAATATGAGATAAGTATTAATTTTTTTGTCCCTATCTCTAAATAATTTGTTGATAAGTACAATTAAATTAAAACATATCTTCAACTAATTGAAATTATGATATAAATATGATAAGTACAAATTGCACACAAACAATTTTTTGCAACAAACGTCCTACTATTCTGGGTTAGTAGATAAGTATTAAAAATTTTAACCACGTCTTTAATTAACTACTTAATAAATAATATTAATTTAAATCACATCTTGAAGGACGTGAGGTCATCGCCTACTATTAAAAATCATGAGATAAGTATTAATACTTTTGATCACATCTCTAACTAAAAAATAGATAAGTACCATTAAGTTAAAATATATCTTGAATAAATTAAAATTATGAATTCTGATTGAGATCGGTAAAACATATTGCGCCAGATAAATTTTTGAGTCTCACGTCCTAATATCATGGGTTATGAGATAAGTATCAATATTTTCGACCACATCTTTATTTAATTAATTGATAATTATTCTTCATTTAAAACATATCTTAAACTATTTTAAATTACGAATTAAATAACATAATTTATATATTTAAATGAAGTTATAGTTAATTTCGGCCGAATAATTATATTTAAACTATTTATAAACGATTATTTAATTTCAGATAAGATCCCATATAGAATAGGAGATAAACATCATCCTAATTAATGGTCTTATGTATAGCTTTTGAATTATATAAATAGGTGTACTTATACCACTTATAACACACACAATATTTTCACGTTTCACATTCTTATTCCCATCTTTTGTTAAATTACATTAAGAGTTTGAAAATGCCGCTTGTGTGGGGGGCTCTCAAATCTGTGAACCGTACTGACAAGCCTTATTTGAAAGTAAGG